CAGGATGGCTCATGTGGGCAGTGCCCTGCTTTCCCTCTCGAAAGGAAGAAGCCCACTGCAGCTGCGGGACAATCATCACTAGCGCTCCTCTTTCTCCCAGGTGATGAGGTCCCTGAGCTGGACAATATGGCGGACTACTGGCTAGGCTCTCTCGCCAGGGCCACGATGCAGACGTACTGCGAGGTCGTCCTACAGATCCCTGAGCTCACCCTGCACTCCACCAAGCAGCTGGCCACAGATATTGGTGAGGAAGAAGGATGTTTGGCGTGGGGGGGGGGAGAGGCCCAGGTTAGGCCCTGCATGTGGGTGGGGTCTTGAGGGTCACCCAGCCTCCTCCCCCCCTGCTCAGGAACTAGATTCTGGCATTCCTACCATCGGGCTGCCTGGCTTCCAGGTGAGGATCTGCAGGGGAGGCAGGCGACCGGCTCATTGGCCCCATGGCCAGGGGACTCTTTCTGTTCTGCCTGCCCCTCTGGATCTCAAACCCAAGGGGTGCATTTATAAAAAAGGGAGAGCAGCCCCTTTAAGAGTATTCTTGTGCCCACCCTGCCTTTTCAAACTAAGGACAGCCAGCGTCTTCAGTCTCTTTTCCTAGGGCTTCCCATCCAGTCGCTCAGTCCCTGCCGGATGCGGTGCTGCTCTGGCCATTGTCCTGGGACTGCCCCTCTCTTGGCGATTGGGGAGCCGAGATGCGATGCTGCTCGTTTCTCTTGCAGATTACTTAATCAATGTGATGGATGCTTTGGGTCTGCAGCCTTCTAAGACCCTGCAGAACACAGTGACTCTCCTGAAGACCAAGCCTGAAGATTACAAGCAGACGGCCAGAAATTTTCCCCGCCGCCTGGCTAGCAAAATTGCCGCCATGAGGGCCCTGGATTATTGAGCAGTTGATTTCTCAGCCCAAGAGTGGGCCCCATGGCTGCACCTGGCCAGAAGTGTGCCTGGCGCCCCCCCCTGCCCCCCAGGGTAGAATTCTCTCTTCCTTGTGAGAGAGGAAAGAGGCCAGAAAAAACTTGTGTATGTTCAGACAAGTTTTCTAAGTACTCAATAAATCTCTTTCAAAGGTGTCTCTGCCTGATAGCTGGTCAAAAAGAGCATTTGCAGCCAGCCTGCCCCTCCTTGTGGAATCGGATCCGAGGGCGGGGGGAGTGGAGGGAGAGTCCTGACTGGGGGCAACCTCAGAATTGGGGTTCAACCAGGGTCCCGCGGAAGGCGGCTAAGAGTGGCTGGACTAAGGAACGGTTGTGGGGAAGGGGGGGGGCAGTTTCTCCTCTGCTGCTCATTTTCTGCTGGGGCTGGCCAGCCTCAGGGCACGAGGGCCCTTCGTCTAGGGTGGAGAGCCTGTGAGGCCTCCAAGTGATGCAAGGAACTGGTCCGTAGGTGCAACCAGGAGGCTGAGTGAACTCTGTACAGCCAAGCTGTTGCACTCCTTTCTTCCTCCGGAGCGATCCAGCTTCGCCTGACGTGCAGCTCTGGGTTCTCCAAAGCCCCAATTAACTCTTGCCTGGGCTGAATCTGGGACACAACGACGGAAGGTCGGTCTCTGCCCTCCTGGCTGCTTGTCTGCAAGGAGGTGAAGCCAGCGGCCGGCCCAGGGCGAGGGGCCACCTGTGAGCCCCCCCCCCTGTGGCCAGAAGAGGCAGTTTGGGGAAAGGGCTGAATCAGACCTGGCCAGAGGCAGCCTTGGCCGGGGTGGAGGGATTTGGGGACAACAAGCTCAGAGCCAAGAAAAGAAAAGGTGTTGTCCTCCCCAAGTCCCTCTGGTGCTTCTCCAGGTGTAGCTTGGGCCTTCACCTCTTCAAGGCTGAACCTGGCTGGGGGGGGCTGGCCCAGACCCCACGTTGTTCCCCAAAGTGCAGCTTGTGGGCCAAAGCCTCTTGCCCCGGGGGAGTGGCCCAGCCCTGGAGGAGACACTGCCTGAGCTGGATCCGGTTGCCCGGAACAGCTCCCTTGCCCGGCCCTTGTTCCCATCCGCCAGGTTTATGAGCTTAGTCACAGCTCAGGTCTGGGGCGGGAGAGTGCGTTGTCCTCATCCCTGCAACCCCTCCTGGCTTCGCTGTCCTTCCACCAGGAGTGCAAGCGCCCTGCCTCCCAGGCTGTTGGCGGATGCTGGCAATCAACCTGCGCGGGGGGGGGGGGATGAGGCTGTTTGGCTGCTGATCATGACAGCTGTGCAGCAGCAGAAAGAGCCTCAACTGCCCCCCCCCCATTTTCTCGGTGTCTTCTCTGCATTGGCCAGTCCAGCCGCTTTAGCCCCCCCCAAAGCCATTTCTCTGCTTTCTATACACCAGTGGTTCTCCACCTGTGGGTCGGGACCCCATTTGGGGTCGAACGACCATTTCACGGGGGTCACCAAACAACGCAGTCCGCCATTTTTTCCCCCTTTTCCTTAGCTGTGGCTACTCCCTTTTATTCTATTGGCTTTTGAAAGCCAATAGAAGAGACTCTCTTGAATAGAGTCTAATTCTATTGGCTTTCAAAAGCCAATAGGAATTGTCCAGGCTGTCTCTGCCCTGCTGAGCCCGCCAAAAGTCCCCTTCTGCAAACGGTGCTGCACCAGTTGAGTAGTCCTCGACTTATGACCAGTTGAGTAGTCCTCGACTTAACAACCGGTTGGGGGTCGCGGCATTAAAAAGGTTGAGAACCACAGCTATACACGATGCCCCTTCTTTGGGTTTTTTATTTCCAGTAAGCTTACTTCTTTATTATCTTTATTTCTTTTATTTCTGCTTCCTTGCCTTTCCTCTAGGAGCTCAAGGCAATGCACAGAACCCTCCCTTCTCCAATTTTCCTCACTGAAACTTCTGTGGGGCAGACTTGACAGAGAGGAGCTGGGCCCAAATCTCTAGGGTGACTTCTTCTACGTTTGGGGGAAGGTTTGCTTCTGGCCATTCTGTCCCCACCTATCCTATCCTCAGCATCCAAAGGTGATAGCACACCTGCAAGCAAGGCAGCTCTTCCAAAGCCCTGGCACTCGCGGCAGAGCAGCTGCCAGCCTGTGCTGCCGGGAGAGGAACGCCTCGGGCTAGAGGGCAAAATGCTGTCATGTTGCCCAAGAAGGGGCACCTGGCCAGTCCCTTCTGGCCCGGCTTGCCAATCTCCCGAGCGAGAGGCAGTGCAGGATCCCATCGGGTCGGTCAGCAGGACAGAGGTTCCGAGTCGTGCTGGAGCCCATCCTCAGGGAAGCTCTCTCTACAGCAGTGGTTCTCAACCTTTTTAATGCCACGATCCCCCAACTGGTCGTAAGTCGAGGACTACTCAACCGGTCGTAAGTCGAGGACTATTCAACTGGTGCAGCACCGTTTGCAGAATGGGACCTTTGGTGGGCTCAGCAGGGCAGAGACAGCCTGGACAATTCCTATTGGCTTTTGAAAGCCAATAGAATTAGACTCTATTCAAGAGAGTCTATTCTATTGGCTTTCAAAAGCCAATAGAATAAAAGGGAGTAGCACAGCTAAGGAAAAGGGGGAAAAAAATGGCGGACTGCGTTGTTTGGCGACCCCTGTGAAATGGTTGTTCGACCCCAAATGGGGTCCCGACCCACAGGTGGAGAACCACTGCTCTACAGAATGTGTGCTTTGGGCTGTTCTGCGTATAGTATTGATGTGGTCCCTGGTTGTGTGTGGCTCTTTAATTGTTGATTGGGGTGTTGATAGCTGGCAGGCAGTGCCCGCATCTGCCCACTGCGTTAACCACTGTCCAGCTCGGGACGGGGCCTTTACCAAACTCCATGCCAGCTGCCAGTCTGCCAAGAGGGTGGGCGTCATTTCACCCCCCCAGTTAAACCAAGCCTTTCCCTCCATTCCCTCGAGCTTTTTTTGTAGTTCTATGCCAGACGTGCTTCTTGAAATTGGAAGCAAGGTGATTTTTGCCTTCCATATGGGAGAAGAGTCCTGCATTCTGCAGAACGTAACAGCAACATGGCAGATTTCTGGCTCCATAGCAACAGTTGGTCTTTAGGACCGACCCACGTGGCAGCCGCCTTTGCAAGCCGCCCAGTGCCCTTCAGCCCAGAACATGGTGAGCAGCAGCGGTGCAACGGCCCAAGGGCTCTGCTGCGGGTGTGTGCACTCTGCTTCAAACCTGTATGCCTGACTGCAAGGACTGGAAAGGCAGCATTTTTGCCAGCACACTCACTTCGGAGGAGAACACGAGCAGGCAGCATTTTCAGAGGCAATTTTTCTCCCCCCAGCATCAAACAGAATTGTTCTGAAAACTGTAGCGACCACAGATGCAAAGGAAAAGCTGTGGTGACCAAAATGAAGCCCAGGGATTCCTGCATTCAGGTCCCCAGCAGGGACCCCGCAGCTGCTCGGACTTCTGAGGGACCAGCATGCGAATTCCAACAGCCTCTGAGCTGCTGCAGTCTGACCCACCAGGAATCTCCCCCCCCCCCCCGCAGAAGTTGTTGAGCATAGGGCCCCCTTCTATGTCAAACACCACCCCAGAGTTCAACCGTGCAGAGCGTTTCCTCAGTGTTCCTGGAGGTGACAGGGTGACCCCGCAGGCCTGCAATAATGTGGGAGAGCTGAGTCCAAGCATGATACTCTGCTCCTTTCCTCTCTCTGGCTCTCCACCCTCCCACCACGGGTGCCTCCCCCTCTGGGCGCTGCTTGGGGCTGGGTCATTTTCTGCACATTGTCCACCCTGGGACATCTTGCTTTGGGTGCCCGTGACCGTTTTCTGCCATGTGCCTCTACCTCACAGGTTGGCAAGGGTGAAGAACACTGGCATTCCCCTTGAGAGGGCACTTGGTGTGATTCTGGTCTCCCCTTTCCAGTTCAAATTCAGCCTAGGCTGTTGGACACCAGGCTGGCAGGGGACAACCTGCCGCCACAGCTTTTCCTCCTGCCCGCCAGCATTGGGCAGACTCTCTGAAAAGCAGCTGGCGCATTTCTCCTCGACCCATGTGACTCCTTGTGCTGTGGGGAGAAAAGTTTAGTGCCCCCAAAATGAGGAACGCGAGGGCAAGGAGAGGCGGAAAGGTGACAAAGGGAACATGCTTTTCACCCAAACTGGGTTTATTCTGTGACAAAGCTTTGTAACTTTTATAATGGCCCATTTCTTTGCGGTGACTGCCTCTTGCACCTCAGCCCTTTTATCACCTCCAATAAAGTCCCCCACGGGATGTCAGCCACCAGGTGCCTCTCCCATAAAGCAGCAGAAGGCGCAGGTGGGGCCAAGAAGGCCTCTTTGGTTACACAACGCCTTGCCCTGGCTGCCCCCCCCCATGCCCGCTCCTCATTTTAAGATGTGCACTACTAACAAGCATTTCCCATGATTGGCGGTAAGCTCCCCTTTCAGAATTCTTACGCCAACCTCCTGACCTGCCAGATTTATACCCCGAAAGAAATACATGGGCTTTAGCAGCAGATCAGGGCTCTCCAGCTGCTCCCCAAGTTTCTGATGTGTTGAGCGGAACCGGAGGGGGGCTGTGCCATCCAAGAGGGAGGGGGAAGGATGCCCTGCAGGTGCCCAGAGGAGCAGAGAGGCAAGTTGCCGTCCTGGCCTCACTGGCTCTCGGTGTCCGCCCCAGGAGCTTCTTCCTCATCGCTATCAGGCACCAGCAGATCCGCAGGGAAGCACACGGAGCGAGTCGTACTTGGGGGGTGGGGTGCCGGGCTCAGAGCCAGCCCCCGGAGCGTCTGGGGGCCTGTCACCCAGGCTCCCAGCCGCTGCCGCCTTCTTCTCCTCCTCCCCACAGAAGCCCAGGTTGGTGTAGGCCTCCACTTTCTCGCAGATGGATGGGAGGGCGTCAGGGGGCCGCGGGGCCGGCTTCCACTTCAGCCCCTTGCCCCAGGCGATCAGCTTCAGGACGCTGATCCAGACAAAGTCAATGAGGATCTCCCCGAACTCAATGAGGCACAAGACGGAGCCCCCCATCCAGAAGCCAAACTGTCCACCGAGGCTGGAGAGGAGCCAGACGATCTGCCGTGGGAAGAGAGGCCGAGGTGAGGCCGGCCAGCTCAGGCATCCCCAGAGCAGAGACGCAGGGATCAGCTTTGCAGCTTGGCCAAACTCTCCTGGCCAGAGAAGGGCCGGGGCTGGGCTGCTCTTACGGTCCCCCACGAGGCCAGCATGGAGGTGAGGAACACTCACCAATCCAGCTCCTGAAGCCAAAGCCAGACTTCTAAAATTCTGAATTTCAGATCCTGAAAATGGCTTTGAGCCACTTCCTGGAGTTTCCTCACTGCTTGCCAAGCAACCCAGTCACCCCACTGTCTCAGGTCGGCCTCTCCCAGTTTTCCCAGATGCCGACATTGTTCCTGCCACATGCAAAGCAGGGCTTCCTGTAAGCACGAGGGCACACCCTCCTCCCACGTGACCTCCCACTTCTGAGGAGGCACCTGCCATTGCGTTGCCCATCCCTGCTTATCAATGAACTCGGCCTCCTCTGTGGGGGACAAGCCTTCAGAAGACCTCTGGGGAAGGAGGGAGCTGGACTCAGACCTCTTGCCATCTCAAAGGGGCCACTTACAGTTGTTGCTGCAGACTCTGAGATGGTGCGGTAGTTGTACTCCTGGAAGTAGATGCTGAGCTTGATGATTCCGTTTCTGGGACAGAAAAAGAAGGAATATTCAGGACTCCTCAAAGTGTGAGGCAAGACCTCCTTTCTGTTTCTCCACACCCTTTCCAGCGGCTCGTGGTTTTGGGGTTTTCACAGAAGAACAGACTCATAAGAGTTTGAAGGACCTCAGTGCAAGATCTGCTCCAGCATCCCTCCTCAGAGGACCACCCAATCTCTCACTGGCCCTTCAGCAATGAACTGGCTGCTTCGTGTGTGAGCCTGCTCCACGGCTGAGAGTTCATCAGGATCCTCCTGACATCCTAGCCCAGGGGTAGGCAACCTTGGCTCTTTTATGACTTTTATGCCAGAATTCCTGAGCCAGCATGGCTCAGCTTGGAAACCTCTCCCTTTCCCCTCAGCATGGCTGGTTCAGGAATTCTGGGAGTTGAAGTCCACCAGTCATAAAAGAGCCAAGGTTGCCTACCCCTGCCCAAATGCCTGAATTTTGATCATGTGACTGTGAGGAAAAATATTTAAATATTTAAGCCAGGGGTCTTCAAACTTGGCCCTTTTATGACTGGTGGACTTCAACTCCCAGAATTCCTGAGCCAGCATGGAGGAACTATGGTCCTCTCATGGCTGGTGGACTTCAACTCCCAGAATTCCTGAGCCAGCAGGGCTCAGCTTGGAAACCTCTCCCTTTCCCCTCAGCATGGCTGGTTCAGGAATTCTGGGAGTTGAAGTCCATGAATCATAAAAGAGCCAAGCTTGCCTACCCCTGTCCTAGCCTGAGCCTCCTTCCATATGGTTCTGGTTCTGTCACCCAGGGCAATGCAGAGTAGGCCCATTCCCTCCTCTATATGTGATCCTGCTTTGGATTCATATCTTGCCCTCAGGATGACCATGCCCATATCAAGCCCACAGAGCCTGACCAAGACCCACGGAGTGAACCAATTACGTCCCGTGATCTGGACTCTTAAGATCCTGGTAATGCAAACAGTATTTGCCCTCCCAGCACTTCCATCACGCTGCTGCTGCTGCTGGTGGTGGTGGTGATTGAGAATGGCAGCCTGGTGCTTTCACGTGGACTACCAGCTCCCTCTCCCACGCCTTTCCTTTTTCCTAAATAGATGCATGTTTACTGCTGTCCCATCCAGTCAGTCTTGACCACACTGATACTTTCTCTAGGAGGATCCATCCCTGACCTGCTCCTTCAGGTCTTTCAGTTTCTCCCTCAAAGTTTACCTAGTTCTCCCAGCTTGTCTTCTGCAAATTTTTAAAATGTCTCCTCACTCAAGGATCAAAATGTTGAATGGCCAAGAACCCCGTAGCCAGCCCTTGAGACTTCCCTCCAGATTGGGGGACTCTTGGAGTGTAGCAATTCAGCCAAGATCCAACATCATCGTCATCTAGTCTCTATTTCATCACTTTTCAAAGGAGACCATCATCTGATACTCTGCTGAAGGCTTTGCTGAGATCCAGTGTCTGTGTGTGTGTCGGGCCCCTTCTCTCTCACTCCAGGCGGCTGAACGAAATCCAGCCGGCAGGTTGAAAGGTCTGGCTGGGCTGCTCAAGCCTCAGAAGCCAAAGGGGCTCCGGTGGGCTTTCCTCTGCCCCTGCCAGCCCCCCCATCACAGCAGAGCTCAGGGAGGACACAACTAGAGCCACAGTTGGGCCAATGGGCAGAAACAAACAGGATGGAACTTCACGGGGTTTTGTATCAGAAGGTGAACGCTGGGACAAAATGGGTTTGAGGAAAGTTCACGAGAAGAGGGAAGCTTGGACAAATACACACATAGCTTATTTTTGACAAGAAGGGAAAGGTGTTTGGTTACTGCAGTGATTGGGGATTGTGGGATTTGGCCCTCTGCGCAGAGACACAAAGGTGAGAGCAGCTGTATGGGCAAGGAAGCAGAATTGGCTAGGCTTACTCCTCGTTGACCCACAAGGGAGCTGGGCTCCCACAGAGAGAGGACAGAAGCCCCGATATGCCTCCCAAGGGACGCCTCCCTTCGCTTTCTCCACTCAGGGCTGGCTGAGCGATGGTGGTGACTCAAAGCCGCTCGGTCCACTTCAAGAGAAAGCAAAGGATGAACCAGGTCCAACTCTCCCCACCCGTGGCCCTAGTGTGGGACAGCTGCTCCTCCCAGCCTCTCACATCACCCAGGAGCTGCAAGCGGATGCTTCCTACCGCATCGGCGTCAACGAGGGACACACACTGACGCACCTGTCCAGAGTCACTTTGGTCGACGTGTCTCTTTCGTAAGATAAAATGTGGAAAATCCAGTCCTAGCAAGAGGAAAGCAAGGGACACAAGCAGGTCACGGCAGGTGACAGATGCTCTCATCGGGACCAAGAAGTAAGAATTTTCTGCTTGAATACCTTTTTTTCACTTCCACTGGCTTTTAGAATTTAAACTATTGAACATGGGTCCCCTGACTGACAGAGTCAGAAGGGCCCCTGAAGGTGCTGCTGAGCCCCCCCCTCAGAGAAGAGTCAAGATGGCTGCCCAGCCTCCCTTGCCGGGACCTTGGAGAGGCAGGTGAGGAGCCGGCTGCAGCAGCACTCACCTCTGAAGCTTCGGAGGGCCAGTCCGCCATGGAAATGGTCATCTTGTACTGGGTGTTGCTGCAGGAAGAGATAAAAGATCAGGCCTTTCTCTCAGCCCCCCCCCCCAGCCCCCAGGCCCCGCTTGACCGCTCTTACTTGCAGGTCTCCTTGCAAGATTGGATGCACGTCTGCCGATGCTCCTGGCTGGTGCGCAGGATGGAGTAGCAGTAGGCTGTAGGGAGGGAAAAGCCCGTCTTGGCACAAGGCTCTCGGCTGAGCTTAATCTGAGCTTAAATGTTACCTTTAATTCTGAAGGAGGAATGCCTCGAACCAAAGTTTTGCCTAAGGATTAAGAGGTGGGTCTCTTTCTATTGGGAGCAGGACACCTGAAGGGGGCTCGGCTGGCATTAGCTGTGCTTTCAGGTCCGCTCCACCCCCAGCCACAGCCAGCCAGGCGAGAAACCTCCGGCAACTCCACAACTCCATTCTCTTGTCGGACCCATATGGCTGGGAAGCAGCTCTGTGGGGGGGGGGCAAACCCTCTATTTCCTCACCCCAGTTGGGATAATCCTCGTTGTTACAGTAATGGGTCCCTTCGGGCAGCGGGTAGGAGTAGTGGGCACACTGGCAGATCTTCACCATCTTGTCTTGGAAGCAGGAGCGCAGGCAGGCCTGGAAGAGGACAGGGTCCTGCTGGCCGTGTGCTCCTCAAGAGCAGGGCCCAGCTCCAGCCACTGGGCGCTACCACCACCACCTTGCCAGCCAAATTCCCCCAAGAGGCCCCCAAAGAGGGGCCACAAGAGTTCTTGGGAATGTCACCATCTCAGCCCTCCCCCGGACTGGCACTGAGAGAGGGTCCATGTCTGGGGGGGGGGGCGGGGGGGGCAGCAGCATTGCTCACCTGGATGGAGTATGTGGTTTTGTACTGGTTTCGGAAGGGGCCCATCTTGCTGCCAGGGTGGGTGCAGTTGGCACAGACCCCCATCTCCTTGGCCTTCGAAGAGGAAACATCAGTGGCCCTCCCCAGATCTGGAGAACAGCCCCTTCCAACAGGGCTGTCTCCCCCAGGGCTCTTCACGGGGGGGGGCAGGGCAGAGGAGGGGAGCCCAGAGACGAAAGACCCTCTCGTCCGCAAACGCTCTCCCCCAGCTGCAAAGGGTGGCTCCTTCCAGAGATCTGAGCTGGTCTCTTGCGGGAATCAGGCCAAGGGCCATAGCAAGTGGCCAGCCGGTATTTCCTCCCCCCCCCCGTTTGGCTCTGGCTAGAGAGAGGCCCCACCCCTCCAGGAGGGAGGCTGCCAGTGCAAAGTGTTCCTGCATGGCAGATTTTTCTAGGGAAAAGCACAAAGGATTATAAAGCAGGAGTGCTGGTGTAACAAAAGGCTTATCTGGACCCACCCAGCAACCAGGAAAAAAGGGGCCACCCAGCACACCCAGAGACGGGGAAGCGCCCTTGTTCCCTCTCAAGGACACGGCGGCCCTGAGGAGTTTGGAAACTTCCTCAGCAGTTTCCGGAGGAGACTGGGGCAGATTCAGAAACCGACGGCCCTTTTGCTCTTTTGGGGGGGGGTCCTCCTCCTCCTCCTCCTGCTGAACCAGGGCATCTCCATTCTTTCTGAGCAGCCCCACAGCCCAGCCTGGGAGGGCCTCCCTGGGCCCAAAAGACTCGAGGGCTCGGCTTTCGAGAGGCTGCAGCTACTCTGCACCTGGGGGGGGAGGGCGGGGGGAGGCCCCAAGGTGGCTGAAGCGCTCGCTCAGAGTGCTCATACGGCCCGTCTGCCCACAAAGCGGAACAGAGCAGGGAGAGAAGGCTTTGCCCTCTCCTTCCTAAGAGGAGCCCAAAGCTCCCCCCCCCAGAATCACAAGAGGCACCCTGGATTCCCCACACTTTGCTCGGTCGGGCAGAAGCCCCGTCCACCGCCTGTTCCTTGAGCTCAGCTCCTGAGCATCGGTCCCAGAAGGGTGGCTCACTTCCTGCGATGGAGCCCAGCTCACCCCCCTGGGGCTCACAAGAACCGTTTCCCAGGCCGGGGAGCGCAGGGGGCAAGCCCTCTCTTCCTGGTCCCCCTCCCTCAGCATCCGTCAGGAGCCAAGGCAGCCAAAGGCCACATTGCTCTGTCCAAGCAGGGGGCGGGGGACAAAACTCCTTCTCAGAGCTGGGGATGCCGCTGGGTCACGTCCAGCAGACGCACCCCAGGAGTCCCACCCATCACTGTGGGTTTTCCAAGGGGGCTTCAGATATAGTTGATGCAGAAGCCTTCAGAGACCACTCCCAGCACTCGGCTTCCTGCTCTAATCACAGGCCAACTCAAGGTTCAGAGGGGAGCGAGTCTCCGGCCTCTTCAGGACCCCCAGCTCAAGACCTATTGGAGCGCCGTTCACTGAATGCAAGCCGGGCCAGGAGGTGAGCCCCCCCCCCGGCTGCCCCTTTTCTCTTGATGGGAAAAGGCACTAAGGGCCCAGGATTGCAGTGCAAGGCCGCAGAAGCTCTGGCCATAAAGACCAGCCAAAGGGGCTGTGGGCAAGGGACCCTCCCTTCGCACCCGCAAAAGATCAACATCCCAAAGTACTCATCCTCTGGCCATACTGCAGAGTCTCACAGTGACATGAAAGGGGGCCCTCCTTCCAAAAAACCAGGGACCCAACCAGAAAACCCCATCACCTGCGAAGCAGCGTAGTCCTCGTAGAGGTTCCTCACCGGAACGTCGGACCCGTTGAGGGTGCAGTCACTGTAGGGGGAGCCCCTCCGCTCCAGTTCATCCTAGTAAGAAAAACCCGAAGAGGTGGCGACAGTTGCTTCTAGCATCCTGCCGAGATGGCGTTCCCCCAAAACCGAGCTTCCCTGTCCCCGTTCACCTCTCCGGGGAATGCAGACCGTGCAGGGGTCAAAGTCCTCCGAAAGGCCTTCTCGGGAACCCTGCACACTCACCCTGAGAAGGGGAGAGCAACCCTCCTGATGCAGAAGACCCCCAGGTTCCCTTCCCACCCTGGCTGGGTCCCAGCTCTCTTCAGGCAGGCAGTCCAGAGCGGCCCACCTACCACCAGGACGCCAATAGAGGTCTCAGTCCCTGACATGGCGTAGATGCCCTGATCCTTCAAGAAAGGGAAGCTCCTCTGCTCATGCAGCATCAGCCGGACTCCGGCCGTGGCGGTGAGGAAGGGGATGTAGTCCTTCTGGCTGATATCCAGGATCAGCTTCAGCCCTGTAGAAGCAAAGCCCCACAGTCATCAGCCGGGGGGGTGGAGGTCCTGGGAGAGAAAGGGGGTGCAGAAACAGGGGTGCAGCCTGTCTTCACTCTGTTTGTCAGGGGTCTTGTCTTGGTAGCAGGAGGGCTGGGGGGAAATCCAATGAGCACCTCTGCCCAAAGTGCTGGGGATCGGGCCACACACCTTGGAGAAGGGCAGAGCACAAGCTTGGGAGGCCTGGCACCCACACTTGGCTGATGGGCCTGGCCGCTGCCTCTGAGCCCGCAACAGAGTGCTTCTTTTGCTGCTCCGGTTTGCTTTGGGCTAGATGTGCCCAGCCTTTGGAAGGGGCCTTGGCATCGACACCCACATCAATTCAGCCTGGATGAGCAATGCCAATTTAAGGATAGTTTTCCCTCTGTCACCAGAGCTACAACTGGCCCTGATCATCACAGCTGCAGTGCAGGACTTCGAGGCACTTTCTCCCTTTCTCGGGACCAAATCTACCTCAGCTCTACAGAATCCTCCCCCCACCTCCAGCTGGAGCCCAGCCAGGCCTTGAGACCTTCCCCCAAGGGCTGTCGGACCCTGGGACTCTCCACTCCCCCAGGTACCCACCAAACTCTGCCCCCGGATTGGAGGAGACGAGGGGCTCCTTCTCCACCCCCCAGTTGAAGACGTAGCAGTTGCCATGGTCCGGGTGGTAGAGGTGGGTGAAGTTTCTGCAGGAAGCCAAGCAGTAAAGAGATTATTCTCACAGGGAGACTTGTGGGGGTCCCGGCACACCTGGCTGGACCGGCCCTTCATCTCTCTGGTGCTGCCCTTGGGGGTCTTCCAGGGAAACCCTCCATCAAACCCTGAGCTGCACTGAAAAATTAGAAAATTCAGATCAAGCCTAGTGTTTCCTTCCAATTTGACTACCCAGGGAAGGTAATTCACACACTGGCCACTTTCTACGAGTGTCAAGGTGCCTTCTGACGTCACCCAAAACTGGACAGCCAGCAAATTACTTGCCGCAGGTTTCTATGGAAACAAGCTGTCCTCCTTCCATGCTTGCCAGCCACCCAGGAGTCCCAGACATCCAGCCTTTGGAGGAGGCCCTGAGCCAGGAAGAGCCAGGAGTCAGCAGTGCTCGGATTAACTGAGCCTGGCGTGTGGACCATGTGAAGCCAGGCCTCTGGTCTCACTGATCAGAGCCCTGGTTTTGACCTCCAGAAGGAAAGGCGCCTCCCCTCTTACACATTCAGTTTCTCTGCAACTGTCCAGCCTACCTCACAGAGTTATTGCTATGGTGAAAAGGGGAGGGAGGATATAACTCCAATAAATTCATTGACACTGTTGTGTCCTGGGCCTGATAAAGGAAACTCAGCAGGCCCAGAATTGTTGCAAATGGGCCCGGGCATTCTAAAAGCTGCCGGGGACCAGACAGAGCGGTGCCAGCCTTGCACGCATGCGCAAGGCGCAAAGAAAGAAGACATCTTATTGGTTCACTCTGTCCGGGTTTCAAGCCCTATAAAAGGCCTGCGTGCCTTTTGCCTTTTGCTGGAACTTGGAGTAAGAGAATAAAGCATTGATTAGTTATAACCATGTGTCTTCATCATTTGCACGCGAACGGAAAACACAACATTGGCGACGAAGATGGGATCCTTTGCAAGCTGAAGAAAAAAAGTTTTAAGGACTCACCCAGGAAGTCCTGAAGAGGGGAAGACAGCACCTGAATCAACGTCCCAGCCTGCCAGTATAGCATCGCTGGAGGGTGAGCTCGGCTAAAAGACCCTTTCCCCCAATAAAAGCTTGCAGAGGAACGAGTGGTGAAGTTGAAAACTAGAGGATGGCGAAGATTGACCGCTTATCTGATTTTGATGTCTCACCCTGAGAAATGGACTTCATACGTAGCACGAGTTGAGAATTACTTCAGAGTAAATCAGATAAGAGAATACGGCCTGAAGGCAGCAACTCTTTTGTGTGCCTTGGACAAGAAGCTTTTGACATCGCAGAGAATCTGGTGGCCCTGCCCCTCTGGAGTCAGTAACATATGCTGACTCAAAGAAAATGCTGAAGGAACACTTCCAGCCGAAGTTATCCGTCATTGCTTGGAGGCACACGTTCGAGCAGAGAGACCAGAGGCTGGGTGAGTCTGCTGCGGATTTCATTGCGGCCTTAAGGCAAGCAACCAGACCTTGTGAGTTCAAGGATCTGGAAGAGAGGCTGCAAGATCCTTCGTATGCAGTTTGAGGAGCAGAGACTTACAGCAGAAGATTTTTGCAAAAGAAGATGTCTCTTTCCAAGATGCCCTACAAGAGGTGACAGCTGAGGAAGCAGTAGGCGGGGCTGTGAAGGCTTTATGACCCACTAGGAACCCTCCAGAAACAGTTGCAGTCCATCAAGAGGACGCTCAAGAAGAATCGGAAGCAGATCTTGAAGAAGAGGTGGATAAGCTTCACCAGCCAGCTGGAAAGAGGCAGAAGGAATGTCCGGACAAGGCCCCAGCATCGCTTCAATGCTCTGGGTGCGGAGGACACCACAAGTGAGCTAACTGCAGGTTTCGCTCTGCCATTTGCAGAGCATGTGGCAAGCAAGGCCATATCACATCCATCTGTTTGAGTCACCAGAAGGTCCAACCTTGTGAAGAATTGCGTCTGAAAGGTACCAGGGTCCCCAGCCAGCATAGGACGGGGTTCTGTGCATTGCGCAGGAGTGTTTTGAGAACAGGGACAAACAAGCCCCTTAAGAAGAAACTTTCCATTAACATAAGGCTGCAAGGGGTTCCCTTATCAATGGAGTTGGACACTGGGTCCGCTCTTTCCATTATTTCCATTAACACATTCAAAAGGACATGCAGCAGCAGTGGCCTTCGAGTTAGGCCATCGAATCTAATACTTACAGATTTTCAGAATTCTATGGTGTGTATTAAGGGAGAGGCCACCCTTAGAGTACAGCATAAGGATTTTGATGGTCCCCTAGATGTGGTGGTTGTTGAGGGTGAACGTACGAGTCTCATTAGACTCGATTGGTTCAAGGCTCTGGGAATCCAGGTAACTGGGCTGCACCATTTGCAAACGTTGAACCTTGCAGAGGTTTGCAAGGAGTTTGCAGATGTGTTTAGTTCAGAGCTAGGATCCTACAAGGGGTCTCCCATTTCGCTATGGTTAGACCCAACCATCATGCCCATCAGGGTTAAGCCTAGGAGGGTACCTTTTGCCCTCAAAGGTAAGATAGATGCTGAACCGGACAAATTGCTCCAGCAGGACATTTTAGAACCTGTGGATTTCAGTCCATGGGAAACTCCCATAGTAACGCCTCTAAAGGCTAATGGGGAAATATGTATATGTGCAGACTACGAGTGTACACTGAATAAGGCATTGCAACAGCATACTTATCCAGTCCCTATTGTAAGCCATATCCTGGCCTCCCTCAAGGGGGGGGGGCACATTTTTGCGAAACTTGACCTGGCATAGGCCTATTAACAGCTACCTGTTGATGAGGCAGCTACAGAGGCCCAGACTATTGTAACTCACAGGGGGGCCTTCAAGGTCAAGAGACTGCAATTTGGGGTAAATATAGGTCCTGGCATATTCCAAAGTGTCATGGAGAGCACACTTCGAGGTATTCCTGGGGTCTATCCCTATTTTGATGATGTTCTCATTGCTGGGGAGTCATCTCAAAACTTAGCAGAGAGATTAAGGGCTGTTTTGCTTCGTTTTCGAAAAGCAGGCCTTAAACTAAAGAAGGATAAATGTAAGATAGGAGTCACTTCTACTGACTTCTTAGGATTCAGGATAGATGCTCAAGGCATTCATCCTGCTGAAACTAAATTGCAAGCCATCCAGCAGGCCCCAAGCCCTAAATCTAAGAGTGAGCTGCAAGCCTTCTTGGAGCTATTAAATTTTTACCATGCATTTCTCCCACATAAGGCTGCTGTGGCAGAGCCATTACAAAGGCTCTTAGACAAGCAGGCTCCTTGGCAGTGGACTAAAGTCCATGACAAGAGTTTCAATGTGGTTAAGGCCTTGCTCACGTCTAATGCTGTTTTAGGACATTTCAATGAGCAACTGCCTGTTTGCATCGCCTGCGATGCATCTCCTTATGGGGTGGGAGCTGTACTTAGTCATCTGAAGGCTGATAGGACACAGGTCCCTGTGGCCTATTATTCAAGGACTCTGTCTTCTGCAGAGTGGAATTACGCTCAAATTGACAGAGAAGCCTTGGCCATAGTGGCTGGCATTAAGAAATTTCATGATTTCTTATATGGCCACCATTTCACGTTCTATACTGACCACAAGCCTCTGCTGGCTTTGTTTACCACTAACAAACATACCCCACATATCATTTCTCCTCGTATGCTGCTCTCACGGAGCCTGGGGAGAGGTCTGGCAATTCTGCTGGCACACCTCACCAGGGGCACCTACAAAACTTGTGCATAAAAGTCCTGGTCTAGCGAGCCCAACAGACGGGCTGGTAGGCCAGGCATCATTAAGAACAAGTCCTGGTCTGCCTAGCCGGGCAGGTGAGCTGACAAGCCAGGCACCCTCCCTAACCTTGCGTAGGTCACAACGGGCTAAGGCCCCTCCTAAGCATCTAGGCAAATATGTGAGGTTCTTGTCAGTACAAGGGACTTTGCAGGTCTCGGTTGAGGAGATGGGATCTTTGTGGGGTAGAAGATAGACACGCGAAGTCCACATTAGAGAGTGGTTGGTTGGCTAACTCTGTTAGCAGAAGAAGGGTGTCTGCATGTGAGCAGACTATTATTATTTTTTATTTGTTTTATTAAGATTGTAAAGAAATTGGAATTGTGTGTATTCTATCCAGGGGGAGGGGTGTTGTGTCCTGGGCCTGATGAGGAAACTCAGCAGGCCCAGAATTGTTGCAAATGGGCCCGGGCATTCTAAAAGCTGCCCGGAACCAGACAGAGCAGTGCCAGCCTTGTGCGCATGCGCAAGGCGCGAAGAAAGAAGACATCTTATTGGTTCACTCTGTCCGGGTTTCAAGCCCTATAAAAGGCCTGCGTGCCTTTTGCTTTTTGCTGGAAGTTGGAGTAAGAGAACAAAGCATTGATTAGTTATAACCATGTGTCTTCATCATTCGCACGCAAACAGAAAACACAACAGACACAATGAATGTTCGGTCCTATTGCTCAATGCTTGTTTCCAGAAAATAAAATGGGCCCAGCCGGTTCTAAGCAAAACAGCCCTTTTGGCCAGAGACTTTCCAAGCAGCTGACAAGGCTCCTGGCATCTCTGGAAGGCAAAGTGGGAGACACTGCCCTAAGCCCTGGACGACTTATGGGGATGAGTAACACAGGGTGGCAGCCACTGGGGATCAGCAAACTATGGACTGAGTGCAAACCAAATAAGGGGTTTGCTGGCAGATGGCTGCGTGTCGAGACAAATCAGAATACTGCTGGAAGGGATCTTGGAGATCTTCTAGTCCAGCCCCCTGCTCAAGCAGGAGACCCTATATCATTTCAGATAAGTGGCTGTCCAGTCTCTTCTTAAAAATCTCAAGTGATGAAGCACCCACGTCTGGAGGCAAGCTGTTCCACTAGTTAATTGTCCTCATTGTTAGGAAGTTTCTCCTTAATTCCAGGTTGCTTCTCTCCTTGATTAGTTTCCATCTATTGTTTCTTATCTTTCCTTCTAGTGCTTTGGAAAATAAGTTAACCCCCTCAAATATTGGAATACTGCTATCATGTCTCCCCTAGTCCTTCTTTTCTCTAAACTAGCCATACCCAAATCCTGCAACTATTCTTCATATATTTTAATTTCCAGGCCCTTAAACATCTTAATTTCTCTTCTTTGCACTTTTTCCAAAGTCTCAACATCTTTTTTTGTAATGTGATGACCAAAACTGGATGTGGTATTCCAGATGTGGCCTTACTAAGGCTTTATAAATCGGTACTAATACTTCATGTGATTTTGATTTTATGCCTCTGTTTATAGAACCAAGGATTGTATTAGCTTTTTTGGCTGCTGCCACACACATTAAAATAAAATAGAGCTGGAAGGGATCTTTGAAGTCTTCTAGTTCAGCCCTCTGCTCAAGCAGACCATATATCGACAACTGGCTGTCCAGTGTCTTCTTAAAAAACTCAAGGGATGAAGCACCCACAACGTCTGAAGGTTAGCCATTCCACTGGTTAATTGTCCTCGCTCTTATGAAGTTTCTCTTTAATTCCAGATTGCTTCTCTCCTTAATTAGTTTCCATCCATTGTTTCTTGTCCTGCCCTCTGGTGCTTTGGAGAATAAACTGACCCCCTCTTCTTTGTGGCAGCCCCTCAAATACTGGAATACTGTTATCATGTCCCCCCTAATTCTTCTTTTCTGTAGACTGGCCATTCCCAAATCATGTCAAGTGATCATTCACTAGGACTCTAAGACCCGTCTCACAGTTACTGTTTTAGAGCCAAGTTTCACCTAATCTGCACTTGTACCTTTGGTTTTTCCTGCCTAAATATAAAACTTTCCTTTTCTCCACATTAAATTTCATATCGTTGGATTGGGCCCATTGTTCAAGTCTGCAAAGATCGTTTTGGATCTTGAGCTTGTCTTCTGAGATGTTGGCTATTCCTGCCAGTTTGGTGTCATCTGCATTTGGTGTCATCTGCAAATCATCTAAGTCATTAATGAAGATATTGGAGAGTTTACTCGGCCTAAGACGGAATCTTGTGGCACCCCACTGCTTACTTCTCTCCATGTGGATGTAGTGCCACTGAGGACTACTTGTTGAGTATGGTTTGTCACTCAGCTACAGATCCATCTGGTGGTGATGTTGTCTATTCCAGCTTTTTCTAACTTATCAAGAAGTAGGTGGTGGTCTACTTTGCTGAATGCCTTGCTGAAGTCTAAGTATACTATGTCCACAGCATTTCACTGCTTTATTAATTTAGTCATTTTGTCAAAGAATGAAATAAGATTAGTTTGGCATGATCTGTTTTTAACATACCCCTGCTGGTTATTAGTTATAACTTTATTTGTTTCTAGATGTTCACAGATCTGTCCTTTGATTTTTTTTCCAGTATCTTCCCAGATATTGAAGTTAGTCTGGTTAGTCTGTAGTTTCCCGGATCTGGTTTTGGGGTTTTTGTTTTTGTTTTTGTTTTTTTGAAGATGGGAAACACATCCGCTCTTTTTCAATCCTCTGGTAGGGTAGAGCTGGCTTTCAACGGAAAAAGCAAACGATTTGGTGAGGAGGGTTAGCTGTGTCTCTTCAAACAGGAGTGTAAAATGTTGGCTGATTGATCGCTCCAGGCAAGGCAATGACCCAAAGGACAGGCAGCTGCTCTTCGAGCGGAGTCGGCAGACACAAGTGCCACAGAGTCGCAGCCAAGACCCAGAGAGATTCTGCAAGGATCCAGGAGACAGCCAGGGAAGGGCCACAGGCAGTGGGACCCCCAGCTGCCTTCGCACCAGAAAAGCAAGTCACGTTCAGCCTCACTAGGGCTCCGTCAGGCCAACCTCTGCCATACCTTCACAGGGAACCCTGCCGAGGGATGGATGTCTGCTCACCCCAAAGATTTCTGGGTACCCAAAGAACAAGCCTCTTGGCCAGGAGCAGCTCCGGAAACCGAGAGACCATCCTGCCTTTCCTTGGGGTGGAGAGCACCCAAAGCCTTGTCTGGCCTGGGGAAGCCCCCTTGCTGCCCTTGCACAGGAGGGCAGTCTTCCCTGCCTCGTTGGTTGTGGCTTTAGCCAGGCTGGCTTAAGCTTCTCCGGATCTGGGACTGAAGCTTTTGCAAAATCTTATTTCAGTACACAGGATCTCATTTCTCAAAGGATAATCCACCCTCCCTGACCGAACTGGACTGGTCTAGAAAGGGAATTAAGGCAGCAGGAAGTGGAGGAAGAGCAGACAAGACGCTCTTAGCCCAAAGGCCGAGAAGGCGACACCCACATCCCCCACCCTGGACTGGGAGCACAGCTTGTGTCACCAAAGGGAGTGTCTCTGCAGACCACACACACACACATTGTGGCTTGTGGTTGTCACCACACTTGGTAGAGCAAAGCGCACTCATTTCCTGTTGAATCTCTCACTCAACCCTCCGTCATCTCCTTATGATTCCTCTCCTACCGATGAGATCTCTGCGGGATCAGATCAGAATCTGCAAATGGGGAGCAACGAACTTGCTTGTGGGGTGGTTTCTGGGAAAAAGTAGATCTCTACCTTTTTCTTGGTTCATCCCAGGCTGATTTTTATATCCTGGTTTATTCTGAACATAGGTTCACACAGAACACTAAGAACAGAACAGAACAGAACAGAATAGAAAATGACTAGACTAGACTAGACTAGACTAGACTAGACTAGAATAGAAAATGAATAGAATAGAATAGAAAAAGAATAGAATAGAATAGAATAGAATAGAATAGAATAGAATAGAATAGAATAGAATAGAACACGAAGGGACCTTGGAGGTCTTCTAGTCCAGCCCCCTGCTCAAGCAGGAGAACCTATACCACCTCAGACAGACTCGTACAAGGTTCTACAATTAAAGAAGGAACTGATCAAAATGCTAAGCAAACTCTCCTGCACACATACCTGTGATTGCAAGGCTCAGCTCCATACAGACATGCCAAGATCATGTCCTCTGCCTGGTAGCCCATTTCGATCCTTTTGCTCAATGGCACTTTGGACAAGATGCTGGTAGACTGCAGGATGTACCACTCACTCACCGCCTGGGCCGCGCTGGTGAACTTCCGGTAGAAGCAGTGGGGGGTGAGGTGTGTGCACTGAGGATGCAACCAGGAGGGAAGGGAGAACATGATTGGAAGGGAAGCCAAGCAGCCATGAGCGGCATTGGCCTTTTCAGGTACATAAGCAGATTGCAGGTGGGCTGGCCCAGAAATTAGCAGCTCTTTCCAGCTGAGCAAGTGACCTGATAGGGTCTCTTCAATAACTTCTAAATAGACCCCCACCATCTGGCCCACTTACCAGCAGAGCTGCCAGAGGAAAAGTCTAGCCAGAAGCTCAGAGCTGCCGGCACCACCCTGTGGGGGAGCTGCCCTGTGGGTGTGCCATCAGGCAGGGCTGCCTGGGGAGGGGGTGGCGCATTGGCAGTCTCGGGAGCAGGGGATGAGTCCTCATCTGCGGGGCACAGGGGAAATCCTCCTCCTGCTCCCCTGCTTACCAGTTTCAGAGCCAGCTTGTACCTCCTCGCTTCCGGGTTGCCAAAAGAGGAGTAGTTGTGGTGCCCTCCGAGGCCAAGAGAGCCGTTCCCAAGAATGTCACGGACGACCGGATGAGCCGCGTCGCTGTCGTCAATCAGGACCAGGGGGATCTGGTTCCAGAGCTGCAAGTTGAGCTTCTCGCTTAGATTCGCTGCAGAGCTCGCTGAGGCATTCTCCTGAAGAGGCTGCAGGATCCTTTCAAGGGCTGCCTCAGTGAGCACATCCAAATCTTTCAGGTAGGGCTTCACCTTAGAATACCTGAGACACGGGCCAAAGGAAGTTCACACTAGATTTGATTATCACAAGGGGAAAATGCAAAGAGGACCCTGTGCAACCACACACACATCTCCAAACAATAACTAGGCACCAGGCAAACCAAGGGCCATGTCGAAATCCTAAGATGCCATCTGGCTGGCCTCCTTAATAGAGGGAGGTTCCCTACTTTTGAGCTTCTCCAGCATCTGCAAGCTAACCTGTCAGCACCTCCCGCCCAGTACCTTCTCTGCTGGGTCAAGAGCCTGGCTCTGGCCACGGGCACCAGCTGTCCTGCAATTTGTGTTCTTCGGGCCAAATCAAGCTTTTTACTGTGGAGAGCAGCCTGTGTGTGTGTGTGTGTGTGCGTGTTCATGTCCTCGGTCAAAACCACTGGGTTGGCCTTCTGGCTCATGGCAGCCTAGATGGAATCCCATCCCATTTTAACAGCAGTATCAGGTACAACGGAAGAATCCCAGGTTGTCCAGAGGCCCTCCAGATACCAGTTGGGATCCCTGCAGAGGGAACTCACCGGAAGGGACTTGCATTGCAGATGGTAACAGCGGGGAAGGTCAACGTCTTGAAGCCGATGGCCAGAGAGGCAGTAACGTTGTAGGACAGGTAGGTGTTAATGAGGATTCCCCACTGCCAGAACACCAGCGAGGCGAACAGCAGAGTCAGGAAGAACCAGATCAGTTTCTTCTTTGGACCCTCACAAATGATGCGCTTGGGCCCATGGGTGTTGGTGTTGTCGCAGTACCAGACCAGCAGCTCCTGGTAGGTGTATCCAGGGCCCTTCTGGAGGCGATGGAGAGCCTTCACGAAGTACTTCTTCAGAGTCATTGGAGAATCTTTTGAAGAACAGAAAAAGTCTGCGACATAAATGGAATAAGAAAAATGCCCAATTTCTCATTGGTTGGAATAAGTAGCAGGTTGAGAATAAGAAGCCACGGTGGAGACAGTGGCAGGCAGGGTGGTGGCGGCGGCAATGGTACCCCTCACAATCTTAGATGATGCTAGAACAGAGCCCTGAATATGGGAGCAGACAGGGAGAGCCTGGAACACGAACCCAGGAGAACAAACATGCCATCACAGGCATTACTGGAACTTGATGGCACCCTTGGCAGAGTTAGGTTCCCAACAGATATTGGGATAGTTGAACTCCCTCCTCCCACTCCATAATTACTGTGTGCCTCTTTGAAAGTCTGGTCATTTGACAAGGAGCAGCCTCGCCCAAATGCTCTACCTGTCCAGGCAGTTTATAATAAGCTCCTACAACAATGTCAAGTACATTTCTCTTTCCTTTTGTTGTTACACAGAACCATCAGCAGAATTTCCATGCTCTGATTCGTGAATTTCTGTGCAAGTGTATTTTCTACTTTACATACACTATAACATTTCCTGAGTAAGCTCTAGCCTTCCAGGGCTACATACCAACAAATTCCTGTCCTCTTTTGCTGACAGCTCCATGACAGAAAGCAGAGGAAGGAACAAGGGGTTCTGCTGGGTCTCATTCTTTACCAACAAGAAGGTGACTAATACTTTGGGAGAAAGGGACTGGGGTATTCTGGAATTCAGGATATAAAGAGGAGAAGAGTCCAGCGTGTCTGTGGATTCCAGAAAAGGAAATTGGGATGGCAAGTAGATGTCAGACACCCCCAAAGTATTTGCCTGCATATTACTTCTTTGCCTGTGTAGTTTTTTGGGTCTGCCATTCTGATGGGAGGAGGGCTACTTGGCTGGGGAATGTATTTGCCTTGCTGTGCTCTGTCCTCTTTGAAACCTCTTCCCTTCGTGAGAAAGGAATGTGGCCTGAAAACATCTGCCTTATCTCCAGACCGTTGGGACAGTTGAGACTGTTGGGACCGTTGGAAACGAAAGAGAGACCTTGAGATGGGCACTAAATCATCAGGTTCTCAAAACAACCTGGCACCTATGGATTGGCTGGACAGTTAGACACTTGGGGGGGGGGAGTCCTCAATGGGCATTATGATGTAATCTTTTGCACGCGAATTATTCAGACCTTGCTTTGCTGTACTGCTATCTCTAACTCTCAATAAAAGTTCCTTTTGAAACAATGCCTGTTTCAAGAGTTCTGCTTTCTTGAGAGCCCTAGTTGAGTCAGGTCCTTACATAAGGTCAGTTCCATTGACTTGAGATTATTGAGGAGAAAAGTATGGGAGATCTTGCAAAGGAATATTCTAAGGATACAATCACAAACAACTCCAGCAGAAAGTCTACGGAAGACATCAAAACATCCCAATGAAGATCAACAGCAGCTTCCTCAAATGCTGAAAATGTGTGTGGAGAATAAGAAAGGCTGGAGAAATGCCAGTTTGAATAGATCCAGGTCTCCCGTGCCAGGCAGGATGCATCCCAGCAACTGAAGGGACTAGTGGAGAAGAACTCTGAATGTTTCAGGAATTTCAGGACCCCGAGAACCAGAGGGCCCTCAGATGGGTCTCTCTGTTGGCTGTCATTCTCAAAAGCCTTTTGAGCAGCTTATTGTTCTCGTCTGCCTCAGAGCAAGCACCATCCTAGCCACGAGAGAGCCCAACTTGTCTTGTGGCAGCTTCCAGGAGAAGCCAGGATGCACCTCTCCAGAGGTGTATAAGATATGTAGTCCAGGAGGCTCCCAAGGCAGCTCCCTCACCAAGACACCCCAAGTTTAACACTGACCTAAAGCAACAACATCCTGCAAGTGCCGGATTCAGGGAATGTGTGGAAGAAACAAGTCAGGGTGAGAAAAGGGTGACTGTTTCTGGGGCCGAAGGATGAGGGCGGATGCAGGCTGCTTTTCTAATGCTTTTGTCTTCAAGATACATTTTGTTCTGTCGAGGGAGGCCAAGGCAGAGCTTAAAGGTCTCTCCAGGTGAGCCAGGGCAGGCATGTCCGAGTCCCTCGGTGCTGTGGGAGAAGCAGGGGGACTCTGTCTCGAAGAGGATGCCCTTGAGGAAAGAAGCCGAGCATGGTGAGAGGCCGGCAGGCAGCTGGCAGGCCAGAAAAGGCTCCCGGACAGCGGTTTCTCCCGATGGTCCTACACTGGAGGCTCCAGCATTTGCTGGGCATGCAGCTTCTTCAAACGCGGAAAGAGCAGGCCTGGGAACCGAGATCTGCACTCACACCTCCCTAGTAGGACTGACTATACTGTCTACCAGTTTTCCATTCTGAGGAAAAGATTCTAAATCCACAACCTATGCAGAAGGTCATATCACGTTAGCTGTAGAATTAAGGACTCCCCCATAAAGCCCCAGAGACTGAAGGAGCCCCACTGAAAGTTTCCCCTCCTGAATGGCTCTTCATCATAAAAAGGTCTCTGGCATTCAAGGCAATTGTTGCATATGGTGTGCAGTGGAGAGTAACGGACAAGTCCAGACCATTTCTGGGAGGCCATCACACCCTTACTGGAAGTAGACCTTCTGCCCTCTGCCAAGGCTTTCCCAGAACTCTACTCCTACTCTTGATCCTCCTCTGAACCAGTTCCTGTTTCTCTCAATCCTTCTTTATGGGTTGGGGGACCCAGAGCTGGATTCCAAGTAGGGTCTGACTAATGCAGAACATGCCAGACTTGTTGGTGAAAAGGAGACTAAACAGGGAGCTACTTTCGTTTACCTGGAAGGGTGTCATTCTAGGGGGCAGCGCAAGGAATAACGAAGTTAAGTTACATGAAGTCTAATTCCTTTGAATGGGTCATAAATCAAGAGTTCAGAGAAGAGTAACAAAAATGATGAGGGGCCTAGAAGCTAAATCATACAAAGAACGGTTGCAGGAATTGGGTTTGGCTAGTCTAGAGAAAAGAAGGACTAGAGAGGATGTGATAGCAGTGATCCTGTATTTGAGCAGCTGCCACAAAGAAGAGGGGGGGTCAACTTAATTTTCAAAGCACCAGAAGGCCGGACAAGAAGCAACGGATGGAAACTAACCAAGGAGAAAATTCCTAACAGTGAGAACAATCAACCAGTGGAACAAATTGCCTTCGGAAGTTGGGGGTGCCCCAACACTGGAGGCTTTTAAGAAGAGACTGGACAGCCGTTTATCAGAAATAGCATAGGTCTCCTGCAAGAACAGGGGGTTGGACTAGATGACCTCCAAGGTCCCTTCCAACTCTGTTACTGTTAAATGGATTCAGAAGCAGCTGGCAAAGGAGCCCCTTCCAGGGAGACGGTGAGCTTCTCCTCGCCTGGGGCAGGGCGTGTCCAAGGAGAAGCCAGACAGCCACCTGTCTGGGAGGCTCTCACTTGCCGCGGCAGCTTAAATGGCCCCTTTCATAAGTAATTTGTAAGCTATACTTTTATTGATGTGGTTTAAAATTACATACACATGTTCAAATTTATTAGATTATTCCACTGTCTACCAAAATCTCCTGGCAATTCATAATAAAAACATAAGAAGCAATTATGCTAGAACAATTGCAATCTCTCATAACGAAATTCCTATTGAAAAAGATAAGCTCTAAAGGCCAATTCCACAGGAGCACATTCTCACCTGGGGCAGAAAACCTCAGCCTGCAGGAAGTCTAGGCAAAGTTCAGATGGGCCAGGAGGGGAAGGGGTCCTCTTCCAAGCCTTCTGGAGCTCTCGGAAGCAAAACCAGCTCTTTGTGACTTTGTCTGAAACAGTTCGAGGGGCAAATGTGGTTCATCCACAGGCCCACCTTCTTGAGGTCTCTGGACTAGACACAAATGTTAGGAGAGTCTCGCATGAAGCTTTTACCAGCAGGTGCTCCGTCTTAAAGCTGCTTTCTTCCAAGAACGGGCAGAGGAGAGATGTTCACAGAGCCTCTTAGGAAGAGTGGTGATTTCAAAACTGGAAAAGCAGAGAAAGGTCCACGCCTTGAAGGACACTTGCACTACATAGCTGCTCTTTCTGAGGGAAAGTTGGAAGGATTCCATGATATCAATATTTATTAGAGACAAATTTCCCTCTAGGAAATTCCAGACTTTTCCCGTGGAAATTTTCTCCTTCAAAAGATGGAAAACGTAAGAGAATCCACTGTCTTGGATCTGACTAGGCAACAGGGACATCATAGAACATATTTGGGGAAGTAGGAGTAGCAGGAACCTTGGATACTACTTAATATTACTTCCTGTAATATTTCTGATCTTAAGGAAAACTGAACCTCTTTCTTGGGCTTCACCCAGGCTGATCTGAACAAACTCTGAGCAATGTTGAAGCACTGGCAAGAAAAGGAGCCAAGTAGACGGAGAGTTTCTTAACCAGGATATATTAATAGCACAACCACAAATAATTCCAAAGAAAAAACAAAATAAGGGAGAATGCTAGTCAACGTGGCTGCAGAAGAGATTAACAAACACTTGAAGACAACAAATAAATGAATATATAACTTTTCAGGGAAGATGGCAAAAGGGTTATCAGGTAGCCAGAAAAAGGCTGCAAGTCCTCTCCTGGTGCTTCTACTTCGTTCCTGGGTCTGGGACAACTTGCCACGGCCAACTTGCCCTGGAACCAATCGTTGTGGGACAATTCAACGCTGTATTAATCGTTTCATTCAGTTACTTTTATTTTTGGTGACTTCGTTTTCATCAAAATTATTATAGCTCTTGTATTTCTGGATTGACTTTCTTATTTTATTATTATATTGTCCACAATTCTTCAAAATTAATTTAACTTTTGTATTTGTTGACTTGTCCCAAGGTGAGTTGTCCTCTGGCGAAGGGTCCCATTCCGTTCCTGAAAGCCCAGCCAAATCTTCGTCTAACACAGCGGTTCTCAACCTATGGGTCGTGACCCCATTTGGGGTCGATCGCCCATTTTTTGGGGGTCGCCAAAGGCGGCGATCCGCCATTTTTCGCGGTGCCGTGCACGGGCGCTGCGCATGGGGGCGGCCCCACGCATGCGCGCCGCGCATGGGGGCGGCACCGTGCACGCACGCCACGCATGGGGGGAGCCCCGCGCATGCGCGTCGCACATGGGGGCGCCGCCGCGCACACGCGCCGTGCATGGGGACGCGCCGTGCACGTGCACTGCGCGTGGGGCGCCGCGCATGCGCATTGCGCATGGGACAGCCCCGCACATGCGTGCCGTGCGTGGAGCCTCGCCCCCATGCGTGCGGCCCGGCGCATGCGCAGAACGTTTGTGTGACGGGGGTCGCCATCACACAAACGTTGAGAAGCACTGGTCTACCATTTCTGAGAATGAATTAAGTACAGGTAATCCTTCATTTAATGACAGTCTGAAGTTACAGCAGCACTGAAAAAAATGGACTTGGGGTTGTTTTTCACCCTTATGCCCATTGCAGCATCCCCCCAGGGTCACGTGATCAAAATTTGGGCACTTGGCAACTGGCACGTACTTGTGACTGTTGCAACGTCCCTGGTGTGTGTGTGTGTGTGTCACGTGATCCCCTTTTACGACCTTCTGACAAGTAAAGTCAATGGGGAAGCCGGATTCACTTAACAACTGCATTACTAACGTAACAACTGCAGTGACTCACAACATCTGTGGCAAGAAAATGGAGCAAAACTCACTTAACGACTGTTTTGCTTAGCAACAGAAATTTGGGGCTCAGCTGTGGCGGTAAGTGGAGGACAACCTGCATCAGGGTTACAAAGGCTGCCCCATCTTGAAAAAGGGAGGAAAGGAAGGCCTGGGGGGGGGCAAGGACAGGCAGCCAGAGGGCCCCCAGAGAAGATTCTAGAGCATTTCATAAAACAGCTGATCTGCAAATCCTTTGAAAACAATATTATGATTATGAAGCCAGCCTGGGTTTATCAAAAACAAGCCTCGCTGGATTACCCTTATGATCTCATTTTCTTACTGCACACAGAATACACCTTGATTTCAGCAAAGCACTTGATATTCTGATTAGCACACTTGGACTGTGAGGCAGGACAATTAAGCGGTTGCACAGCTAACTCAAAAGCCCATATTCCTCATCCTAGGGCGGGCCCTGAGCAGGGGCCATGAGGGTCTTTCCTATACCTTTCAGTGCTTTTATTAATCACTGTGAGATAAATCTTATCAGATTTGCAGATGGCACTCCATTGGGTGGGGCAGTTAAGACAAAAATTCAGAATGATCATCAAAGGTTAGAGAAATGAGCTGAATATAAGAGAATTAAGTTTATTTTTTTAACATTAGTTATTTACATAGGAAACACATCAAATGCACAGGTTTGCGATGGGAACTTTTAAAAACGGAATGGTATATAAATGGCAGTAACAAATAAATAAATTCAGTATTTGTCAGTGCAGATAAGAAACATGTGGCACTCTCCATCCTAGCCACCAGTTGACATTTTGACACCTCCCCCCATGGATACCCTGCCTGCAAGGATTGGGGGAGGGGGCAATCTCCAGCCCCAGTGAAAAACCACTGCTTGTCCCACCCTCGGCATGGCAAAGTGTTCTGTGTGCCAGCCCTTCCGCCTGCCCATAGAGCCGGAGTTTTTGGAGTTGGTAGGTTGTACAATTCTGACCCTTTTGCTTAGATCATGGTTCAGCCAGATGAGAACCCCGGCTGGAAAATTCAAATATTTTATGGTGCTTTACTGACTTGCCATTGGCTGCACATCTTCTTTTATGGCACCCAGATGTAAAGAACAGAGCAGTCTCTCAGGCTTGGCTATAAATGCTCTACTAAAATAATAATGCATGCCTAGACTGAACCCAGCATAGCACCCATTTCTCTCTGATAATTCAATGCTGTGAACATGGAAGCAGAATTTTCATCTCTGAACCATAAAGAAACACGGAAGACAGAAATGTTTTGCAAATCCACAACTAAATAGATAAGAACATTTTAGATTTTGAAAATTGGAATTTTCAAATATTTAGCATCAAGCATGTTTGAAAATGTTTATTATACTATTACTCTAGATTAGAATGAACAACTGATACAATATGCATAAACTGTGATCCAATTCTGGAACACATAAAAAGTACATAGAAATTTCTCTAAATATAAATTTGCAAGAAAAATAGGAGAAGAAGGGGCTATGATGATGTTTAAAAGTGATATTGGAAGCAAAAGTGCAACTTCTGGAAATGAATGGATTTTTTTAGCAGATGTGATGGTGTGCTTGTCTGGCCCAGAACCCAGCCAACATGTAATCTGGATTAAAAACAGGCACCTCCAAGAGACATCTGTAGATCTGCCATCAGAATGGTAGTACTTGGTGTCTCATTCTGCAGTTTGAACAAAAAAAGTAGACTGGATCCAAGCAAAGAAAAGGAAAAGTTTAATTTTAAAAAAACCAAGGAACTGGGCAGCCAGCAACAGAGCAAGTCCTCAATCTTGGTCCACGTTGCTTGCATCAAAGGAGGCTTTGCACAAATGAGGCCCTGCTGCCAAAAAGGCCCTGCCCACAGGAACTCTCTTGGCTGGCTGTATCTGGGCACTGGAGCAAGCCTCTCTCTTGGCCCACAGCAGCCCCACAACTGTCTTTCCATTTCCTGTGTCAGGAGGAGACAGGTATGGAAAAAGAATGCCAGAATCCAATTATATTTCATCTCTAGTTATTGACTGTGGAAAACCCCATTTCTGCCCTCTCTGGATTCTATCATACGATGAAGGGGAAGGGGGGTGAACAAAGGGGTTTTATGGCCCTCACTTCCTTCGGTACAACTTCAAAAGGGACTGAATGTGGATACCACCAAAAGGACTAACCATAACAATGGGGCCATCAGCTTTCATCTACTCCCCTCTGAAGTCTCCCTTCCGCCGGCAGTGAGGAAAAGGGGGTGGAAATGTAACATCTGGGATTGTCACTGGAAGGATGATGGGGTGGGGTGGGGTTGCTGGGGACCCCTTAAAACCTTGAACCGTAGGGCTTGGGCCCCAAGTCCTGTCTAGAACGCCTGCAACCATTTTCTCTTAATAAAGATGCCTGTTGGAAGAACTATTCCAAGAGTTCTGTCTTCTTAAGAAGCGAAGTGGGGTGGGTCCTTACAAAGAAGTACCTTCCTGGGTCTCCAGAGGTCAGAAAAATCCAGGGTGAGAAGAGCGGGGATCCACATTGGGAAGTTTTGCTGACCTTCCTTCCTTCCTATGCCAGCCCCCCTTCACTGAGCAGGGTATCAAGTGTTCAATTGCCAGCTGGGAATGGCCCCAGGTACGGTTCATCTGTAGTTCTTCACAAGGATCTGGCACAGCATCTGCTGGTCCACTAAAGTCAGTCACCTTAAGTATTTTTTAGGTCCCTGCCCTGGCAAGCTCTGAACCTCTTCTGAAATCATTTGAGGATCTGAGGAGCTCCCTGGACACCACAGATGCCACCAGGGGCATAAGCAGTGCCACTAAGAGGGAGACACCCTTGGCACAGGAAATCAAACCCAAGGTCTCCCATGGGATCTAGAATAACTCACCAGCAAGGGCATGGAGTCCTCACCAGCAAGGGCATGGAGTCCATGAGATTTGATAAATGAGAGAGAGAGAGAGAGAGAGAGAGAAGGGAAGGAATGCCAAGGACGTCAGTAGAAGGGATGGTTTCACTGGGTGGCAAACAGATTTGCTTAAATCAGGAACTGGATGAGGGAACCCAGTTCTCTTAGCACACCTGGACACAAGATCCTGCCTCTCTTGCACAAGCAGCCGGGCTGGCAGCTGGCCTCGTGGCGCAGCGCCCAAAATCCGCAATTTGGAAAGAGCAAATAGTTTGAGCCACTTGAGATTTCTGCTGAGCTTCTTGAACTTTGACACTTTAAAAACTGGTCTAACTGCCATTTCAGAGGGCCGAGTGCTTGCCAGCGATCCACGATAGGCCTCTTCCAGTGGGGCAATAGGCCTCTTCCAGTGGCTGGCGGCTTCTCAGAGCAAAGG